CTAACACTCAAATATTCATTCACTGCTTGAAAATTTTTATGTCGGTTCGGTTAGAACCACGTCATCATAATTTCTAGGTCAGAATCACATTCATGTTTTATATAGTCCAAGTTGGGAGAACTTATTTGGAATTATCTCATTGTTTTCACACTGTTTAGGTATTTCAAAGAATTTATAAATTATTTTTCCGCTTACGTTTGCTTGATTGCTGTGAAAACAACGTATAACATGCAGATTAAACGGGAATAAGATAATTTAATTTAATTTTCTCTATAATTATAGAAACAACTTGTATACAAGTATTTATATGATAAATATTAGATCAATACACTCAATCAAGTTGATAAACCCTTTTACCACAGTCATATCCTATACTGTGTTCGGCCAAGGTTTGGTTGAATTCAAATTACAGTCCACAGTATTGGAAACAATGGGCTTAAAGCCCAATTTTAGGGTGTTGTTCCTCCATCACCACCACTTCTCCTTCAATCTCCCAACCTTCTCAAAAAAAAAAATAATTATAAAAATAATTTTTTTTACTTTTAGTCCTATTTATTTACTTTAAATTTTTAAATATTATCTTTTTATCGATTTTTACTTTTCACTCAGCCTCACCTTTCAACTGTCATTATCTTTCTTTTCAGATTCCCATCCCCCAACTTTATCACATCTGTCAGAATCATTAAAAACGCGCCCAAACCCCTCTGAACAGACGCCAAGTGTCAAGCAACGAGGATCCGAAAATCAGATAGTGGAAGGCAGGTGTCGGCAGATGAGCGGACGTTCGTTTTAAGCAAAACTGAGTTTTTGGAAAGTTTACGTCACACTCTCTGCATGCATCTTTTTCTCCAAAACTCTGAGTTTCTCAAATTCTCCTCCTTCTCTCTAAAATCTCTCCCTTCTCTCTACCAAAACTCACCATTTCTTTTTTCTGATCACTGTTTAGGTACTGTAGAAGCACTTCCGGCGTCCAGAGCTTCAGATTGAACCGAACGGTTTCGGGTTCTGAACTGGTAAGTTCTTCTTCTCGTTAATCATTCGTTATCTGGTACATGCACACCAAGTTCTGGTTGCATGATGTCGTCTTGTCTGATTCATTGTTGGTTTTCTATTGTTTGGTTTAGTTTGAAGAATTTTTGAACGTGAGGGTAAAAGAAATTGTAGTCAGGCAAGCCTTAATTCTGCCTTTAGGACGTTCGTTCACGCTCAGAGGTAAGGGAAGCTTATCTAATTTAATTGTATTTTCGTTTGTACGTTCGTTGATAATGAATGCATGTTGTTGAGTGGTTGAATGTATATAAAGTATGAATGCTGATATGCTTGTTTATATAGAATATGATTATTTACTATGATATGGATTGTATGGAGTATGAAAATTGATTATGATGTGAATTTATGAAGTTATGAAATTATGTATTAAGACATGAGTTGAAGATAAATGAGTCATGGATATGAAATTTCCTATGATAGTGTACGTTCGTCATTGAACGGTCATTGACCGTTCGGTAATACTAGTAACCTTGGTTAAAATTGGATCCTTTCATTTGGAAAGAATCCTAGTTGAGGACGAGTGTCTTAGTGTGGAAATACTATGCTTGAGCGTTCAGCCAAGTGTAGTTGTATCTGAGTATTCTGTGATAAACTTAAATTTTGTAAATATATGTATTTGTATATTTTAGTTATTCTGAAACACTATTCGAATAGTATCTTATTACATTTATTAATCTTTCTATTATAAGTTTAGTAATGTTCGGTCTTACACCAATCGCTCGTACTATTTTCTTTTATAATATATTTCGGTGAAAATAACGTTCGTCCAACTTCAATAGAGTTTTCTCTTTGTTGTGCTCAGTCATTGACTAGCATTCAGTTTTCGTGATGCTAAACTTAAATAAGCTAATTTTTCGTAAGCGTTCGGGTCCTTACGGTGAATCCTTCTAAGTATTATTCTCTGAATGTCTTGAAGTGTCTACACCCATTGATTCCAACTTAGAGCCTTAGTACTTGACACGGTCCTTTTCGGTGTTCGGTTGGAACTCTCAAGGGTCAGTTCATCTAATTGGCTCACTTTTCAAATAACGTTCGTTCTAGTCGTTCCTATTATATATTAACGTTCATTCTAGTCGTTCCTGTTATATATGATTATACTCGGTTTCTTTTTCAAACCGATAGTAATCCCCTTAGTCTTATTCTATTCTGGAACTAGAGACCTCTCTGTCTCGTTCCAAGTGTTCGTCCTCGTTCAGAGTGAGGATTGAACGTTCGGTATCTGGTGTCCTTGAAAATCTTTAAACAAAGATGAAATTGAAATGATTGATAATGAAAGATGAAACTAAAATGATTGATAATGAAAGATGAAGAGAATATGATATGAATGAAAGGTGTTGGAATTATGAACGAGCGTTCCGGGGAGGAACGACTCGTGAATGAATATTGGAATTTATAAATTATGAATGTGGTTATGCTAAGCTGGCGATTCATCCTGATGTTCCGTGAGTATTCGTCCTCACGTAGATGAGGGTAGGCCATGTGTGGGAACGACAGGAGGTCCTAGTCCTTAGGGGTACTTTGGATAGATAGGACTAACCTCGAGTGGCAGTTGATGAGAACATTCCAGTTACTACATCACCAAGGTGCACGAACGTCGTAGCTACACAAATTTCATACAGTCCGGACAATCAGTCTAGTATTAAGCTTTATATGAAACGTATGACGAAATATATCTTGTGTGTATGATTTTGTGAAAATGTATGTTTATACATGAATTAAATTACATAAGTTTACCCTGTGTTCTTGTCTTGTCGTGTTTTGTATGTTCGTCTTGTCATTGCAATGATCATCCGTGTGGATGTGAGCAGAAGGAGACGAGTTGTTGGAAGATGCGCTAGAAGAAGAGAACCTGGTCGAGGTAGAAGTGAAAACCGAAGAGTAGGACGTTCGGTCAGTAGTCTAGTTATTGTAACTTTTTGTTAAATATGACCGTTCGGTAGTTTATTTTGTAAACCGTTCGGTCAGGTTTGCTTATCCTATATAGTTTATGGTAACTCTTTTTGTAAGGTCGTTCGGTCATAAGCGTATGTTCGGCTTTTAGTGTAAAGACTGATCTAAATTATTAATTAATGTGATTATTCTATTATATAGTTTTAGACTGTATTTTGGAATGTTACAACATCAGTTTGTTTTAATTACAAAAATATTAATTTAATAAAATTATATATTTCATATAATTAAACTAATAAATAATTTTTTATATAATTATAAAATTATTAAAGAATACAAAAACCATATATAAAAAATAAATATTATACAAAAACATTAAAATAAAAAATTAATTATATATAACTGCAAAATACAAAAAAATATATAAATATAAACTAATAACAATAAAGATCTTCAAAAATACATTTCAAAAATAATACATCAAAACATATAAATTACATTATTAAAATATCTCCAAAATTAATATAAAAAATAAACTAATAAAAATAAACTGGAAAATAAATATGTAACTTTAAACGGATGTGAGCATCTGTCAATGGATGTTGACATCCGCTGAGGGATGCTCACATCCGTTTAAAGATTATACGTTTATTTTTTTAGGGTTTATTACGCACCTTCACGACGAATCTTTCAAGCTCCACCACCGCACACCGATCTTGGCACGGCTGATCAATTGCTTCCACCACCACTTGCAATCTCTCCCTAAGCACACCAGCTAATGAATGTCCACACACTCTAAGACCACAATTCTATCACAATTAAAGAATGAGAGGAAAAAGTGGAACGTGAAAAAGAGGAAGAAGAGTACAATGAAACAATGAGGGGACAGAACGATAAAGAGGAAGAAGAGTTTTCGCTGCATACATGTAAAAGATTGGAGTGGGTAGAGATTAAAAAATATTAACCCAAAATTTTACTAAAGGTAAAATAGGAATGGAAAACTAAAGAGAGGAATAAAACAAGGATGAGGTGGTGGAGGGAGCAAAGGGTGGTGATAAAGGGAGCAACACTCCCAATTTTATTTAAGTTATGGGCCAATCTGGTTATATACGTCTACCTCACATAAAATTCTTGATGCACGTCCTCATATTTTTCTTTATTTTTCCCCTTCTTTTTTTCAATATTCTTTTCAAATTCCAAAACTATCTCTTGCAATTTCAAAAGGTCTTTTAACAAATTTTTTCCATCTTCATATTTTTCTTTATTTTTTTTAACAATTTTTCTTTTACAACTTGATCTGTTTTAAAATGTATAAATCAATAAAATAATGATACATACTCTATTGTCAAAATATTATTAAGAATAGTTATTAACATATATGATATAATTTTTAAGTTCTTTAACTTGTTTCAAAATTCGTTAATAATTTTTTTAATGAATTTTAAAATCTATTAAAAAAATCTTTCAACAATTTTGAAACTTAAGATTTTTCAAACCTAAATGGATTTTTTGTTAACGAATTTTTTAAAATTTTAATAAATTTTGAAATTCGTTTGAATTTTGTTGAATTTTTTTTAAAATTTTAATAAATTTTGAAATCCGTTTTGAATAATGTTATTTTTGGATTTTGAAATTCCATGGGAGAAATCTGTCAGTAACGATCACTTTTACCGCAGTAGTAACATAAATGAAGAGACTAAAAGGAAATATTGGTTTGAATTAAAGGTCCAACAGCATATCTAAGTTTCTTCATTTAAAAATTGAAACAAATGATTTTGATGAATATAAGTGTTTAATGTAACTTCAACAGTTGTGGTTGGTAAGGATAACGCACGCCATTTGGACCATAAATTAATAGAAGGTTCATTTTTCACATGAAAGAGAGTTCTGGAACATTGAATAAGAAATAAATGTCACATTCGCCTTCATAAAAAAACTATAACTCCCACACATGGATTACCTCATCCTGCATTTAAAACTTCAGATTGCGACGAATTCTCATATAAATATTTACAACTCCTTTCCCTTGAAAAAATTAAGTAGAAGGAATGATGTAATGGTGGAGCAGGAGAAACTGTATTGGTATATTTGATCAACAATAACTAAACTCGTTTTAGACTATTAATTACATTAGTACATTTAAATATAATAATATTGAGAAGTAAACAGAGTGATATCACTGCACTGAATTTAAAAAGACACGCCTAGCTAGGTACTTAATTAGATTTAACACATACTCATACTAATACTAATCATAACATATATAAATTAGAAGGACCGAATTGACCTTCTGAAAGAGAGAGCTTCTGTCACATGACAACAACCTGTAGTGTACCTATCTACGTTCTACAATAGCTGTACACATGCTACTACTAGAGACAGCTCCATCATGCGCCGTTCGATTGTCTTCATCACATACCAACATACACAACCTCCAAACTTTTTTAGATCTTTCTCTGCCCAAGCCTCAACTGATCAATAATCGTGTGCGAGCTCGCACAGGCACACTCATGGACCTTCAGTCTCGTGCTGCCGTGCAATGCGAATGCGTGCTGCTGTGTGTGGCCCTGGGCTTCGAAGGAATATTGTTGGGGGTGTGAAAATCAAAAGGGCTTGGGCCAGTACATGAACATGTCCTGCAGCGGCGACATCTGATTATTATTGTTGGTGTTATTGTTATTGCTCGCGAATTGGGTGAAGCCGTTGCTCAGAGTGGTATCCATGTAGAATGGAAACTCCAGGCTCTTCTCCCACTCGTTCCACTTCGGCTCGCTCTGCACCTCGCTGGCGAATTCCGGCGAAACCACCTGCTCTGAGCAGCTCGAGTCCGTGTGTAGCTTCGGGATTGAATCCGACGGATCGAAGTACATGTAGTCAGTCATCGGCGGCGCCGGCGGAAGAACTCCTCCGCTTTTCAGAATCTCCGGCTTCTTCTCTTCGATCTCCGGGGATTCGATTTTCCGGGTCACAACTGGATCACTGCTCGGTTGTAATTTCTCGATCGTGCCCTTCTTGTTGTAGATACGGCACAGCACCCAATCATCCAACTGCAGAATCAGAACCGTGAGATTAATTTTCATTGTTTTTATTTATTAAAATAAATGTAAATTTAATTTATGATGCAGGTGAGAAAGATAAGAAGGGATAATTTCCATAAAGGGAAAGTGATAATTGGGATTGGAGGAAGATTTTTTTTTTCAGGGTTTTGGATGTGATGTTAAGTTTTGGGCCCAAATAAATCAGCCCACACCACATGCGGGTAAGTCTTCAACTAGTGAAGGTTCCGCGTGGTTGTCATCACATGATAAAGGTGGGGGATAACATATTAGGACCATAGATTTTGCATGGTTTCCACCAAAATCCCGGACTTATCCTCGGGAATTATTATTATCATTATCATCCTCAGCTTCATCAAAAGCCAGTGGGACCGTCCAGGGGATAAACTCGTAATTTAATACAATTACTCTTGAACTGGGAAGGGATTATGTAAGTACGGTGCATATACCCTTAGGCTGTTCTTTTTGCGAACGGACCGATCTACATCAGCCAGACGATACTCGTGCATGATCCAATTGCTTTTGTCCCCTTTCGGAGCTTTCCCAGCGTAAAACACCAAAGCTTTCTTGATCCCAACCGCTTTCGGGTGACCAATGGGCTTATCTGCCCCGGTTGCCTTCCAGTAACCGGTTCCCGCCGCCCGATTCGGCCTCGAACCGTTTGGGTACTTCCGGTCCCGTGGTGAAAAGAAGTACCACTCTTTCTCTCCATAAGAAGCCAATCCTGAATATAGAAAAATTGCATTTGAAATTATATAATCAGTTCACTTGAAAATTAAAAAAAAAAAAAAAACAAACTGGATTGAAACGAAGAAGATCGCATTAATTACCGGGAAGGTCCCAAGGGTCGTATTTGTAGAGGTCGATTTCGGCGATGATGGGAACGGCGATGGGCTGCGAGGCGCATTTGCGGCAGAGATAGTGCATCACGAGCTCCTCGTCCGTTGGATGGAATCTGAAGCCTGGGGGCAATTGAAACTCTGATGCCATCTTTGTTGAAAGAAAATTATTTCTCCTCTGAGAGATCTCTGGTTAATTTCTGAAACTAATGAATATTGGTTCTCCCAATATCCCTCTCTACTTCAAGACTAAGACCAACTATGGTGGCGGCGCTTGAAACTTATTACATAAGGGAGAGACGTTTATTTATAGGCGATTTGGGAACACGTGGCGTCAGGAGCCAGCAGTTTCTAGAATACACATGGGCGATAACGTTTAGGCAGTGGGCCTTTGATTTTCCATCCACTTTATTTTTCTACTTTTTATTTTTATTTTTATTCTATTCTATTACATATGACATTTGTCCTATTTAGTTTTTATTTTATTTCTTACCATATGCGTTACGTGTATTCCTCGTGGCGCAGAGCGTGGTAGGGAGTGAGGAAGATAAAACATTTCATTTTTAATACATGGCATTATTTTTTTAATCTATTTTCAAATTAATAATGCTCCGCCATTAGGTTAGGTGACGATTTTAAAATTTAAATACTAGTATTATATAAGTTAACAGCAAGGTTAAGGTGAAAATGGCCGTCATTATCTGTTTATATTTTTTAAAAGTTGTGATATGTATATTTCTTTTATTTTGTATTGTGTTCTGATTCCTTTTACATCTCCTTTTATTTTCCGGTGTTCTTTTTATGCCTTTATTCAAGGTCTATTTCAATGGGAGTTTTTTAAAAATAAAAAATAAAATAAAGAAGGTGGGTGATGGGTAAGCGGACACGTGTCGTGCTCTCAACTGTGGTGCGCGCGTGTCGAGAGCCCACACGAGGTGATTTTGTCACTGCTTACGACACTGGTTTTGGAGCGAAGCGTGGGCTAGTCGGTTGGGGCCCACGGCGTCGATGGTGTTGCATGGAATCGGCGCGTTAATTTGACTTTTGCTGCAGAAATTGGACAGTGGATGAAGGGTACACGTGTGCCGCATATGTTCATTTGCGTTGGATCATCATCTCGCGTGATTTATGATTTGTAGCTTTGTAGCTTTTCTTCTACGACATAAGGCCCCACCTCACCGCGTAATCTCTACCACCTCTTCCACATTCCTTTTTCTTTTCTAATTTTTCCCTCCTTTATCTTTCAGTTTTCACCTCGCCAACTTTTAGCTTCTTTTTCAGAAAATATCAGCCAAATCTTACCACATCTATTTTAAATTCACTATATACATACATATATTCAATCAAATAGTTGATATGTAGTATTAGAAGGCGTAGTAAACAGTTGACAAAAACAACATTTGTTTGCCCTTTTAGAAAATATTTATTACCATATTGTGCGCTGAGGTATTTTATTTTTACATGATTTTCTGTGAAATGTTTAAATAACTTACACAAAGTTTTTTCCGTTCGTTAAATAATTTATTATACTCGTTTATACTTAACCTATTTTAATAATTTGCTGTAAGAACACCTATTTTAATAATTTTATTAACGACGTTTATCATAATAAAATTTGTAGATGAAGTGAAAAAAAATATATTATCAGAGTTTTAACATCAGTTTGAGATACGAGGTTACTAAACACGTTAGTTTATTCAAATAATTTATTTATGGTGCTTTCGAATACGACATTTTAGGATGTACATGATACATGTTTGATAATTTTTTGAAAGTCGTGCATAATCATAATTTTTTTTGTATTGTTTTAATGAGCAGAAGATATGTTGTCATCCTTCAAATCATAATTGGATTTTTCTTTGTTCAAGTCATAATTTGGTGTACATAATTATGACAGGCTTTATCGATGTTTTTGGATTCGTTATAATCTTTGTAGAAGGAATTTAACAAGTCATGCAAGATATCAGAATGACCATGGATAAGATGTAAAATACAAGGTCACTTGATTGTGGGTTGATAATGATGTTAAGGTTCATTTGCATAAGAATGACTTTATGCCCAATTATTAGACATGTAGATTTTAGTACAGCTTTCTAGGTAGGTTAAATAGTATTAAAGATCTTACATTAAATAACATTAATGAAATAAAAAATTAAATTTTAATAATTAAATTTTAAATTTAATTTGATTTCATAAAATTAGTTTGTAAAATGAAATTTCTTATACTAAAGTGGGTGTAATGATTTTGAATGCATTTACAAGATAAGGGTGTGACCCATTGATTTTGGAAAATTCAATTATGAGGTACATGAAATGTACTTTGAAATGAATTGTTATTTGAAGCTGGTAAATTAAATCACTATATGTCAAACGGTTACCAAATCTTAATTGTTAATATGAGTAATTAAAACTTAATTAAGATCTAGATCTCATGTGAATGTTTTAGAAAAATATATAAACTATTTTTTTCGAAGTTGTTTTTGAATGTTAATCTCCTGAAATCTTGCTAATTAGAAATTTATTACTCAATAAAGAGATATTGGAAGTTGAGAATATTGACTACTGTGTTTATCATCATTAAGATAAAGATAAAGTGAATGAGTGAAAGTTCTTAAAAAGGTCAAATTACTATGAGATTGGAGAAACATAAAAGAGTCGGACTCTATTTCCATAAAGTTTTATTTGTGAATTGTATGAAATACATATGCTCTTTGCTGTCCCTGGTGAGACTTAAATCTTTTAAGCCACGCTAACTTTGCTATTGGACTTGTATAAGTGTTGAATTGTATTTTAAGATATATATATATATATATAACATAATATTTGTTTTAACACGAAATTTTTAAACATAATATTTTTGAATCATTAATATGCTTGAGTTGAGACATTTGTCTACTTTTTAAGTTTTTATTATAGATTTGTATTTAAATAATATATCATGTGTTAATAAATGAGAATATATTAATTATTTAACCTTATTTTATATATCTGATTTAAATATACTAAGTGATATAGTTTAGCAATGATATGTTACTAAACATATATATAAATTTATTATAATTTTTAATAATTATTAACATCTTTTAATAGCATTTTTTAACATGATATTATTATTTAAATCACATAAAAGTATTTTGAAATTCATATTTATTATTTTATACATAAAAAATTCTATTCTTTTACATAAATGTATATATACATCTTTCACTATTTTTCAACATATAGAAATATACATTAATATTCAAAAATCCAATTACAGAATGTTTATCTCTACATCATTTCATATTTTTCTCTCTGCATTTCCATGTTTTTTAAAAAAATTAAAATTATTTTTTAAAAAAATCTTATATCTCTTTAACGAGTTCCAAATCCGTTAAAAGCTAATTCAAAATTTGTTGAAGAATTTTCTTAATCTTCAATCAATTTTAAAAAAAAATTAAAGAATTTTTTTTGAAAATTTCAAAAGAATTTTAAAATTTGTTGAAAAAAGTTATTTTTAAAATGTGATGCCCGAAAGAACGTGGGATGGTGCAAGATAAACACTTCCATTTACATTTTACTAACTATCCAAAATCATTATTTATATTTATCTAGGAACAGCAGTAATCTTAAATTATATGCAAAGCAAACTCCCAGTCAACTGCCAACAATATCAGAGCTAATTATAAGTTATTTTTCATGAAGAGATGATAAAAAAGAAAAAGGTAAAGTTGAATGAAATTTCGATGATGACTCATCTGTGGTCTTTTCCACATGTGTGAATGGTAAATTTAAGTAGCATTAAATGCTCAGAGACGCAGGTTCGATTTGAATTTTGAACATTGAATGCAGAGAGTTGATTACACGTGTGGTGGTCAAATTATTAAGTGGAAGTTACCTAGCAAGTACCCTAGTGGAAGACTATATTTTGTGTTTTTTTTTTTTTGCCTAATTAATGATTTTTAAAAATTTAAAAAAATAGAGAAAAGAAAGATGATAAGCATGGATGGTATGTGAGGCTTAGGATACATAGGTGGATGAGTGGATGTAGGTGAATGTCATGCCGTTTCCTTCACTTTCGGTGTTCGGTGCTTCGTATTTTACCACTCTGCCCTTTATGTTTTTTTTTTTGCACATATCCAATGCTACCAATGTTTCATGGTCCACACACTCGAGCTTCACATTTCATTCATTTTCTACAACAACAATATATTATTTTACTTTTATAATATACTATATCCTCACAACAATAAAATAATAATATTAATAAAAACAATGTCACAATAATCATAATCACATTCAACAATATAAACAAAAATATGACTACCCTGTCAATTACAATGTTAGACTGTATAATGTGAAAGTCATAGTCAATATCTTAATAGTCAATGTCATAAATTGCACGCTTCAATTGAAATTATTAATTTTTTTATAAGATTAAGACTAAGATGTTTCTATTATCAGAGAGTACAATCATAATAATTGTTTTTTTAAATGGCCAAATGTGTATTAACTTCACTAATAGTTGGCTTGTATATAACAATTTTTAATGTTAGGCTATTCACATTGGTAATATTTAATAACTAAGAATTGTTAATTTTAGAGTTAGTTGAATATTTCAACTTTGTCCATATTTAAATTTTAAAATTTATGGGATGATACAAGTTTCCTCAAACTTAAACTTTAGAACTTTTGGAGAAATAAATTTAAAAAATATTGCTATTATAAATCGCTATCTTAATATATAATGTAAAGTAATTCAAAAAATAGATTATTTGTTTTGAAGTTTAATGCTTGATATTAATGATATATATTATAAAATACCAATTTAATACTTTTAGTCTATTGATATAGTCTAGTTAAAAAATGGATTATTGTTTTCAAGTGTAATTGTGCTTGATATTAATTGTATACAAATCTAGTATAATACTTTTAGTGTATTAAACAAAAAGTTTGAATCCTACAGTACTCTCTAGAGCTATATTTTCGAATCATAATTTATTTTTACTTTTTTTTAATATAGGATGAAAACTATCAACTAAACATAACCTCACGTTTAGTTTAAACATAATCTAATACTAGTATACATTTTAACAAAAAAATATGAAACAATAAATCATATAAATTATTAGATTAAAAAATACATTATCCAAATGCAGCTTAAAAGTATTTATAAAAATACTCTAATGTATTTTTAAAATATTTTTTTACAAATATATGATGTGACATTATAAGACCTACAGGGTCTTAGTCTTCCAATTCTTATTTATACATACATACATACATATATATATATATATATATATATATATA